TCAAAGACTAAAAATGACAAGAATTCAAATCTCTGTCGATGTGTGGGAATACAAGGGGTCTATAACCTGTTGTTGACCCGTTGCTGCCTGCTTTTCTCTGTTGCCCTCTGGTTAGAAGGACCACTAGCATTGCCAGATCATTAATATTAGCATTGTTAGCTATCTATCAAAGGCTAACTTTCATTTTTAGTTTTGTTTCTTGTATTTTCTTAGATAAAACAGAAGCAAAGAAAATTGTCAAAATCTCTTGAACTATTAGAACTACAAACTACAATGTATTTCCTTGTGGATTTATTTTGTTTTCAAACCCATTTATTCAAAAAAAGTCACCTTTTTAGTTAATTTCCAGCAGCATATATTTAATTTTTTTGCTTACTTTAGGCTTTTAAACACCCTTTAGACAGAACTAAGGAACTTTAACATAAAACTGGTTCTATCGCTATTTATATATATATATATTAAACTAAAATGTTGAAGGTATTTATTTGTAGAAATGCAATAAGAGTTTGGACTTCACAAAACAGCCTGTCCTCCCCATACCTAATCCCCATTAAATAGCCTCATAGAAATTCTAAAAAGTAAAAATAAAATTTAGATATTACATCAAATTACTTAAACTGTATTCAGTTACTTTTTAAAGTTGCACATCCATTAACTTCACAGACCTAAAAATACTCAGAATGATTCTTACTGTCTACAGTTAGGATAAAATGCATACATTTTGAGTGCATCAGCTTTATATATGTGTTCCTAACTGCAATTAGAATAGTATTTTGTAATTTTTTTAAAACTTATTTATTGTGATTAAAATACATCTTAAATTCACATCATAATTGACTTAGTATGTGGGGGGAAAAAAAGCGGTAAAACATTTCTACAAACTGAAACTTACAGAAAAGACATGCAGTGTCTGTTACTGTGTCATCTTTATTACAGAGGTCTTTTGAAAGTAGTCACTGTTTGAAAATCAATTTTACCAATGTACATTGGTGCTGTCATTTCAGACACCTGCTGTTTTAATAGACATCCCTGCCTTTTTCCATTCTGCCATGGAAAATTGGTTTAATTTAACTTCACACCTCACTTAGAAAGCATTTAAATTGGTTACCTTGCCGAGGAGTTGAAAGTATAGAGTCCAGCAGCTCTGAAACTTGCGTACTGCTATGGCTTGTTATTATTTTCTAAGCATACCTTTTCTCAGCTTCAAATATTATGAGCTCAGGTTGTGCATTTTCTTCAAATGGGCTGTCAGAAAGCTTGTCTTATTTTGCAGACAAACTTATGTCTGTGTGTTTACACTTAACACTGATGATTGCATTAAATGTTGTTGAAATGTTTTAATTTCAGCATTATTGATTAAAGATAAACTAAATGATTCTTTAAACCTTAAACAGTCATTCAGAATAGAGGGAATGTGTGAAAACTGTCAAACCTAATGTGCTCTGTAAGTACATCATCTTTATTATTGACAATGGTTGTGTTGCTAAGCACCAAGTTATAAAACAAAAGAGTTTCCCCTAAGCCAGGCCATGAAGAGAAGGTAAATCTGTAAAAGGGGCTTACTGTGATGCAGCATCTTATGTCTGCCCTGGAAGCTGTTCCTTTTAAATGTTAAATTTGGTCTGTGGAGCAGAGAATTCTTTTCTTACAAAGGTTAAGGTTTGTACTTTATTATAACTCTCCACAGACAATCTCAGTTTAATAGAGCATTTCACTGTTTGAGACAGGATGAAGCTAGGTCGATCTGTGGGTGTATAGGTCTATAGGTAGATAGCACCTTGGTAGATACATTGACTTTATCCCCAGAACTCTGTTTGTCCTTCACTTGAAGCAACATTGCAGACATAGAGCATTATTAAAGGTCTGTTGACACGTTTTTAATTCCATTGTTATTTTTGCTTAGTTATTTTACTGTGTCTTTTCATTAGTCTAAAGTAAAAATAATAAACAATTTTCCCTCAGTGATTGAAAATTGTGGTGGTTGAAACTCCACTTTTAACTGTGGCAAAAAATCAGCCTTTTGTCTGTTAGACTACTAGCCCAGACCTTAAAGGAAAGTTTATTTACATAGTACGTGTCAATAGCAAGGCATGTGAAAGTGTTGTACATGATGGGGAAAAAAAAGGAAAATTACATTGCAGTGGCAGACATTTTAAAATAAAATTATATATTGAATTATATACAAATATATATATTTTAGATAGAATAGTCAAAAGCTACTCTAAAATAAAGTACAGCAACTTTGGGTTGCAGTGCCTTTAGTTTTTTGTGACTTTATTTCAGATTAGTGGAGCGTGATAACTAAAAGCTGCTTCTCCTTGTTTGGTTCTGGTTCTGGATATGCAGAGTAGATTTGAGCCAGAAGACCTGAGATGTCTGCACAGTCGACAGACTGAAAATAAGTCTGTAAATTATTTTTGTGCTAAGCAATTTAGTGATTTGTAGATGAATACAAGTATTTGGGAACCATTGGAAGGACCACTGAGATGATGTGCTCCACTTTCTTAGATTTGGTGAGGAAGTGGGCAGCACTCGGGATCAGCTGATCAGATGCATTTGTTTCCTCTGCTTTTTAGACAGACCTGTGAAGTTAACATTACAGTAATCAATTCTCTGGTTATACTGAAAATAAACTCATGAATACACATTTTTTCAAAGTTCTGCAAAGACATTTTAATGTATAGTTGTGTGTCATCTGCATAGTGATAGTGATAGGTAGTTAATTTTGTTGTTTATAAAGATTGGAATGCATGGGAGCATGCAGATATGTAATAGGAGGAGCCCTATGATCGACCCTTGGTGAGCGCCATGTGCAATTTCTGTGTTTAAGTTAACCTACTGACAAAAAGCACAAAATTAAGTAGAATTTAAAACAGTCAAATGCTGTACCAGAAAGTTTTCATTGCACTTTAAAAATACTGTTTCATAAAAATAAAGCCAACAACACTTAGAGTTATAATCATGCTAAGAGTATGTAATATACTGTAATGCATAATCATTTGTTTATCAAATGTAACTGTATATATCATACAAAAATGTGTTTATTTTTAGGACTCTTCTGTCATAGTAGTTGAGTTTAGTTTTTCTTAGTTTAAATAAGTCTTTATAAGTACAGAAGTTGATACTGTAGATCTAAAGTCAAAAAGGGTTCCCTTTTTCAGTTTAGAACCTTGAAAAGACTTAATTCCACAAAACAATTTTAAATTTCTCAATCTGTTTATTGTCAGAAGGAGATCTAGATATCCCTCTTTACAATAATACTCAAAAGCTAATTCTACAGAACCACAAAAGGGTTCTTGGCTTCCATCCCTACATCAGGGTCAGGGTCTGCTCTGGACAGACCTCTTATTTCAAATTCTCTTAGTAAACCTCTAAAGCAGGGCCCTCTGGCTTGGGGAATTTGAGGCCAACCATTTGAAGATTTAAAAAAGGAGAACATGGTCCGTGGTTGGCTGTTAGGTTTTAGGTACCCACAGTACTTTAAGGAAGTGGAGAACAAACTTTGAGGATTTCTTTAATTAAGTCACTATTTTCTTAGTTGAGAAGGCAAAGCCTAAGGGCTCAGAGGACAGCAAGTCCATCATCATGGCAGATATTACTAAGAAAATGTCCCTGGTGGCTGGGCAGAAGTAGTGGCTTAGTTTGAGAGGGAACTACAAACTCAGATGACGGATATTGTTGGGGGGAGGATGAGTATGTTTAGGATGTCCTTAATAAGATGCAATCTAAGGATGCAGGAGAAGGTGGGTCCATCAACATACACCATGAAATCACTGAAGCAGTTAAAAAGCTGCCTGGCAGTGGGGCATCAGCTCTGGAAGAGAATTCTCTAAAGGTACTGAAATGCTATTGGCGTAGTTAACATACAAGGCATCTTAGTGTTGCAAATCAGGTTAGTGGCAGGGCCTGTGACGTGTCATATGGGGTAGTGTTTTTCCGAAGTGTTGTATCTGTTGAGGGATCAGACTTCCTACCGCCCCCAAAAAGAGTTTACTGTAGTTTAGTTTGAAATTAAAGGATGCATAGTGGCATATGTCTTTAGTGTAAACTGTTGAACAGCTATTAACCACTGCAGAGTGGTTAACGGGCCAAAGATGTTTGAATGTCCAGGCAGCCTTATGACTTTGCAGCTCAGTAAATGTTTAGGCAGAATCCTTATAGATGCCTTTCACCTCACGTCTGGCCTCAGTGTTCCTCAGGGCAGAACCTGGACAAGCATGAGGAGTGTGAAGCAGATGGATTGAGACTCAGTTCCTCTGGATATGTGGCTAAACAAAAAAAAAAAGGTTAATTACTTTAATAAAAAGAAAAACATCACGTTGATTTAATTACATTTACTGCCATCTCTCCTTTTTGTTCGGTATTTATTTGAAAACTTCATCAGTGAGGTTTTCAAGTTCATCAGTGAGGAATAAAAAGTCTGTAATATAGATATAAAAAATAGTTTAAAGTCTCTTCTTTTTCTTGGTTAAGAAGTACTTCTCAACCTCTTTATGCATAAAGAGAGCATCTTTATGGAACTTATTGAAGTTAATTTGCTTTTACAGCACTATACAGCAAAAGGTAAGTGTTATGCTGCAGAGGAGACAATACATACTGATAAAACAAGGTCAATTAAATGACATCAGCTTCAGCATTGGATTCAATAATTAATGTCAAATATGAATGCTATAGACTGCAAATGAAGCAGCACGATTGCTCTTTTGCTTTGTTTCAAGATTGAAGAGTTTCCTGTAAAGAGATATTGCAGTTCGATGCCACTTTCAAACAATGTTTAAGTGCTGCGCTTTCTTTTCACGTCTTCAAGATAAAAAGGGAGAAGAGGAACTGTTTGGGGGTGTGGAAGCTAGAGGGAGTATGAGGGGGTTCTAAGTGTTAAAGAGTAATGGGCTGTTGTGATCTGAGGCGGCACTTGTCTCTCCGGCAGAAAGCATATTTCTTAGCACTGCTGTTGGTAATCATAATAATAACAGCAAGTCGTTTGCATTGTTTCTCCGCAGCTCTCACTGTCTCAGCTGGCAGCTACTTCACGCTACCCGACCATCAGCCACTCCAGCTCGGCGTTACCGTGGCAACAGTCATTTCCTTCTCTGCTCCATCCTTCCCCGTTGGCATCGGCCCACCAGCTGTCACATGTCGTAAGACTTCCACCCCCGTTCGCTTACACACACAAATACACCCAGTCATGGTCTCACACTCAAACTTCACATTCATGCCAAATAAAATATACAAGCGTTTAACAAAGACAAGCATTTACAAGACTGACATTTCTACACAAAATAAGCTAAGTGGTTTATATATCCCCAAGACAATGCAGGCAATGATTTAGTTCAAGCATACCGAGCTTGGCAGAAGTATTTCTACACCTTGACATTTTCCATATTTTGTCAGGTTACAACCATAAAACTTTGATGAGACAGACCACAATTACAGCTGTAAGTTTTTAGGGTATGTTTTTATTCCCTTTGTTCCTTGAGACTAAAGGTTTTTAGCCTGAAGTGTAGTCAGATTGGTTGAAAAGTATCTTTGAACAGAAATGTCGTTTTGACATAAATCCTTTATTCCACACCTAAATATGCTTTGTTTTAAGAAGTTCTGATGTAGCCCCGGCTGTATTATGGTTTCCTTTCCCTGATGGAAGTTTAACCCCTTCTTGTTTCTTAAGAGTTTTAATGCATTAATGTATTTGGCTGCATCATCCTCCCATAATCTCTGAACCATCGTCCCTGTTTATGCCAAAGAAAACAATTCCCAAAGTGATGTGTGGAGTACACTCATCATGTTAAAAGTGGGATATTTTTTTCTTCTATAAAAAAAACCCTGCTTTAAACTTTTCGACAGCTTTTTACCTGACTGGTTTGGTCTTTTGAATAAGTATTTGTTTCAGATTAACTCTCAAAATAAAAATTATTCTGTCTTATTTGAACTATTTTATATAATATGCTATAATTGCTATCTTGCATCTGTTCCAACTTAAGTCCATAAATTTAAGCCGCTGATACATTCATTTTTATTGTTAAGAATAATGATATATACAGTGAACAACATTAAAGTGTATATAAACTAGAATTTTGGGATCCAACCATTACAATCATTGCATACAGGTTTGCAAAGTGGAGCAAGTTGGCTTTAGTTTGCAGATTTTAATACCTCTGGTGAATAATTTTCTGAAACGATGCAGGAGTAACCTGCTCCCCGCTGTTGTGGGTGTTTGCTGCTGAGAATTAGCTGGCACTCATTTTGCATGTGAAAGCTGCCTTGTCTTTGCTAAATTAAACCATGTTCTTCTATAGCGAGGCATATATTTGGGAATTGGTTCAGGGCACATTAGAAACAGTGGTGCAATCCCACACAGTGAGGGGAGGCTTGTGTGTGTGCAGTAAATAACTGCTGTTCTGTGAAAAGAATCAGAGAACATTAGGGGAGAAACATCCTCAACTAGAAAGGTAAAGATTTCACAGAGTGCTGTTCAATCCATAATTTTCTTAAATGTGGTCGTACTACAAACCTGCACTATCATGGCAGGTTAACAGAGCCTCTATTCAACCCAAATAAGCACCTGATGGGAGGACAACTTTTAGTGACTTTAGTGACTTGAAAAATCTGGGCTTCATGGAAGAGCAGCAAGAAGAAAACAACTCTAAGCAGAGGTGTTCATCACGTTTTGCTAACTACTGTATGACTTCTCAAAAAGGGCTAACTGGCTTTTTAAGGATTCTTCCCTGTTTGGAAAAAAAAAAAAATCAGACAGCCTATCAAAATGGATGCACCATTAAATAAATACATATCCATCCATTAGTTAACAGACAGCGCATTGCTCAAAACGTGTTTAAAATACATTATTCTAGAATGTCATGCAACAGATCAACACAAAGTACTGCTTATTTTTGAAATGGATGGAGAAGGAGAGCCGTTTATTTATTTTCCAATCTTTTCAGAGCAGGTTTCCTGTCTTTGCTAAAAAATGCAAAAAACTTTATGGTGCTACCACCATGTTTCACCATGGTGATAGTATTTTTTTTAGGAAGTGAGTACCGCTATTATTCACACATTTGCTCTGTCCTTTACATGGTGAAAAGGACACAAAGTTTTTTTTTTAAAAACTCTCCTATTAATTCCCGGATTGTTGTTTCAGCCTCAATGTTTTTCATCTGATACCGGAATAATCCGAACGCCTTTTTCAAGGTGTAGCAATTGTCGAACACTTTCTGATAGAGCTGTCGGAACATGTTATCTAACAAATAGCTCTTAAAAAAAGTAGAAAACCCTGAAGATTTATTCCCCAATTTTACAGTGTTTACATGTTCAGCCTTGAGATTCATTTCCAAGGTTTCAGAAGCACTTACTGTCTTCATATTAAGGCTTCAAAGCTTAATGGAACTAAAGCATTAAATGTTGACATAAATATATCAAATAGATCTAGATAATCATAACCGATCCATCATTTTCAGGTTGTTTCTTTTCTTTACAACCAGTCCTTTTAATTAGCTGTGTGACCCTCGTTTTTATTCAGATGGGGGTAGGGCTCTCATTTTGAGCAGGCAAGTAGATTTCTACCATAAGCAAAATACATTTTTATCTCATAGATATTAAACATAAAAAAACTGTTTCCATTTTTTCCACTTTTTCGCTTTACAGCAGATTGTAAAAGCCGTATTGCTGTGCTGCAGTACAGCTTGAAATGGGTTTCTAACTAGACAGCAGCTATTTTATTATGTTTCTCCCATCTATTATGCTTGAAATCCATACAGCTTAGGCTATGAATCATATTGCCTGAATAATCCAAGAACTGTGTCTAAGTCCTGCAGAAGATAAGGGCATAATCAGGAACACAATATTGCAAAGAAGAGACACAATTGAATTTGGCTCACACAGACTAAGTCGTGCTCTGAGAACAGCCAGAATACCTTATCTGTCTATCTTTTTCGCTGTAACTACACTGAGGGATAAAAGTTTTTTGTCTATTTTGCATTATTAGATTGTTTTGCTTTTTTGTCCACATTACAACTGGACACATGCATCTATAGATTACCCAAAGGCCTTTATTTTGTGAAGCTAAAATAATAACCACAGTTCCTCCATACATGCCTAGAAGCCATTGTTTAACTATAATTGTTTGTTTCATTTTTATTTAAAGCTGATTTTTATTCTACAAACCTATCTTTGATTTCCATATAAGGCGGCATCTGAAATGGCAGCAGTCAATGAAGCAAAAAGAAAGGTTTGACCCTTACCCTTCTTTCTGAAAATAGGTCCTAATAATAACGCAGTTGATAGTTTCTTTCAGTAAATTAGCTTGAAGAATTTACTGTTTAAACCTCCATTTGTCCTTGCAACCATAAAACCTGAACACACCTCCCCATGAAAATCACTCATCCATATGTTATCACACCGCAGCAGCTTAATGGCAGCGAGTGCAAAGGCATCAATTATTAGGAGCATTTAACATTTTGAAAGCTAGCGTTTCATACCATGCCAACCTCAGAGGCTATTGTGTCGCTGGCTGTTTCATCACATGTTGCACATGTGTACCTGTGCAAATGCAGCAGCGGGATAATAGCCAAGGTTATTGGTGATATGATGATGAAAAGTTCAAGAATATCCAGCTATACTTGACGTCTAATATGAATTTCAAAATGTCTACAGGTGTAAAGGGTGGGGAAAAAAACTACAGAGGAGGAAACACTTCACTAAAAACTGCCTTCATTAGCACTCGGTGGATAATAGTTGGTGTTTTTTAACACAACAAATAAGAAACCAAAATACCTTAGCACAGTATTTGTTTGTTTAGATCTGCGTCCCTTCCTCTCTGTTTGCCTAACAAGCTACTTAACCCCACCCCTTTAACGAGCCAAGGGAAATAAATAAATTACTAGATCTGTACTTTAACCAAAGCCCCTGGAAAAGGAAATAAACTATATAGAAACAATTGTAACTTGAAAAGTCCAAGGCTCATGAGTGGAAGGGATACAGGGCTATAGAATATTTTGTTATAAATATACATACAGATGTATATGTTATACCGTGCCATTCCAAAAAAAGGAAATTAAAAACAATCCACTTCACTTTGTTTCCAAGTTTGAAGACGTTTCGCTTCCTATCAAAGAAGCTTTATCAATTCAAAACGTCAGGAATAGTGTTGAGATCTAGGTTTTATACTGCAGCCTACAACACCTTGTTTTTGTTTTGAAAACATGCAAATTAAAACGGACAAAAGGGGTTCAGCCCTTTGGAATGGGAGTTGTTTGGCTTCTTTTATCAGCCTGCAATTCCCCATACCCATCTAAGTTTCTGAAAGGGGATTGTTGGTCTGGCTGAATAGGCGAAGTCTTCCGATCTCCTGTTCAGGGGCCGGGGCTGCGATGTAAACGGAAAAGGGATTAACTCAACTGCTGCATTGTAGGTTTTTGAAAGCTGAAACCTGAGTCAACCTCTTCTGTTTAAGGTTGGTTTTTGTTTCTGAACATAGATGGCTTCCTTCACGCCCCTCTCAAAACACCTATTTTCTTAAAATAGGTGTCTGCAAACTTGGAATCAATGTCCAGTGGATTGTTTTTAATGTAATTTTTTTTTTGGAATGGCTATGACCAGGATGACTGAGAATCTTCACCAGCATACAGTATATCTGTATATATTGCATGAATGAATAGGTTGGCATGGCCTCAATGACTTATGGAAAATATGGGTCATTTATAGGTGTAAGTTAAATATGAATATAGATAAATATAATTGTATATTTGATCATTTCACAGTAAAGACAGGTATAGATTCCAGCAGGAAGGTGCTGCATTGCCTGAATATTAACCCTGCACAATTTGCACAAATAAAGTCTCTCAGGGAAATTTTGTTGGATCGACCTCCATATATAACAAATGGGGAAAGAGGGAGGTGACAAATTCCACAAAGAAGTCTGCAGATTTGTAGTTGTTTTGTGTGGCAGGGTTACTGCACCCTCCTCGGTTGCTTAGTGCAGATTAAAGCGATACAGACCCCCATGGGCCATGAAAGAGGTCTGATTCAACTAGTAGTAAGTCGACGTATTAATAAAATTATGAAATTATTTTATGAAGGTTGAAAAGAAACTTAGTGTTCATTTAATAGCTGTGCAATGTCCAAAATCATCACTAAACAATACATAAACCATGGCCGTATCATGTCAACACTTCATGTTTCCAAAGGCTGTTGTTCTAGAAGTTGCATTGTAGACCTCATCATTTACACTTTTATTAATTAAACATTTTCCGTAGTCTCTGGAAGAGAGTTGGTATGAGGACAGAGGCTTGGACGGATGGACAAATTCTGGGATGGAATATTGGTAGCTTTATGATAAATATGAAGGGAAAATGTGTAATAGTGATGATTCCTCATTGACTAGAGAGGCTAAACCTTCCCAGTAAAATTTGTTAAATTATTGGTAAAATATTTATTATCAAACTTCATAAATGTATACATTAAAGTGAATTAAACACTGTATGCGCTAAAATGTGCCAGATTTCATGAGAATGTTGCACATTGAGCCCACTCTGACGCAATCTCCCTTCCGCTCTGGAATCAGCAGGATGCTGCCTGCCAGCCTCTTTGAGCCCTGATTGGATAACACGACAAAATACATAATTTCCTCTGAGGCTAAACGTCTTAAAGGTCTATGAAGCAGGGGCGGGTTGTGAAGCTGGCTGCTTGATGCTGATTGGCAAACTTACTTAAGGAGTTTTGACTGACGGTGGCCAGACAGCGATGAGGGAAAAGTGATCATTTATTAAGAACAGTCATCTTGAGCTGAAGTCTTGCCATGGTTTCTAAAGTTTATTATTTCATAGCTCTTCACAACAGCTATTTTTACCCGTTGTAATGATGTGTTTTATGTGTTTCAGCGTTTGTTAACGCAATACGTGACGTTTGGATTCAATTAACACCATTGAGCCTCCACTGTTTCTGAGAGCAGCAGCACCACTGATGTGTTCAGTGTGTAGTTATATATGGAATAATCACTCTAAATAGTCCATCTGATTTATGGGATGGGTGTTTTTGCCAGAGCACCTGCTGTCTTTTAAAGCCTCATTAAGATGTCACTGTGAACGTTAACTAGAGGAGATAGGTGGAGCTGAATGCTTGCAGTGGAATTATAAACAGGTGGAGACAGGTATTCATTCTTCTTATTCACACTGTATTAAAATGTATGCTACATAGGCTAATATATCTATAAAGTATATTATCTCCTCTGATGGAATATGTTCAGGAACATCATAAAGTGCCTTTTTTAAGTACAAATGTGACATGCACATGTATTTATTAATGTTGATTTTTCTTTCAACCATTCTCATCTTTTTTTGAGGGTTTATAATAAAATATATAAGAAAGTTGAAAGGGTATGGCTGTTTCTCTAAAACATGATGCATTGGGATGTTTTAAAAATAGATCTTTGAAAACATGATAGAAATCCAGCTACATCATTCCATCCTATTTCCATCATGCTTATCCCTGCTGGGGTCGTGAGGGGTGCTGGTGCCTATCTCCAGCTGTCAGTGGGTGAGAGGCGGGGTACACCCTGGACAGGTCATCAGTCCTTCGCAGGGCAACACAGAGACAAACAGGACAAACAACTATTCACCCACACACTTAAACCTTAGGAGAATTTAGAGAAGCCAATTAACCAAACAGTCATGTTTTTGGACTGTGGGAGGAAGCCGGGAGAACGTGCAAACTCAATGCAGAAAGACCTTCGAACCTGGAACCTTCTTACTGCAAGGCAGCAGTGCTACCCACTGCTGCACTGTGCAACCCCAAAATCCAGCAAAAATAAAAATAAAATTGTGTGATCCTAGAACAATCTTGTAATCAGCTTCATTCATTCCTAATTACTGCACATATAATCACCTGTGGGATGCAAGATGTATGCTACAATTGATCATTTCTAACAACATGTGAATTTCTCTCACTTTGTTAATAAAGATAACAGTCAGAGTTAAAATATAACAAAGCTAAGGTTTAGCACTCAGATCACACAAAAATAATCCAGGGGGAGAAATTAGATAATTGTCCTTGATCAGCTGCACATGAAAAAGACAAACTTAATTGCTGTTCAGCATATGATTTTAGGCTTCTTTTGTTCAATCAAACTCTGAAACCAAATATGGAGTTTTTATGCATAAATGGAAATAATCTTGACATTTCTATAGATTTTTTTTTGCATTCATGACTTCTACTTCTTAGAACTGTCTTCGAAGCTGCCGTCCTCAAGGTTATGCCTCCTGCAACTTCTAGATGTGTCTCTGCTTCAGTGCTCCAGACTTGAATATTAGCTCATTTGCTGAGCTCTGTGGAGCTTGACCGCATGCTAGTGATGCGGTTCTGTATTGCCATTTGATTCAGGTGTGTAGGGGAGGGCACACGTTTAAAAGCCGCAGGACAACATCCCTCAATGATTTGAGTTTCAGACGATAATCTGAGCATAGAAACCTCAAAATCTGTATCATTCTGAATCAGCAAATCAAACTCTATATAAACCAAAAACTGGTAAAGACATCAGAGAAGCCGGAGTGGTGCAGCTTTACTTTTATATACTCTACACAAGTTATTTGAATCAGAGCAAACACTGGACGGACCGAGCAAACCCAGACCAGGGTAAGCTCCTTACCTCCTCTTGACACATGGCTGCTGTGTGTGAAAGATACTTATTTCCACTGTAAGCTCAGGGCCAGAGCAGTCAGAGCATTAGGCGCTTTCTGGAATCAGTTTTGACAAATCCACTACAAGTTTTTTTACTTATTGCCTCATTATTTTAATCCATGTCTCATTACCCAATTTCACTTCCCATGCATCCAGTTGTCAGCTGTGTTTAGTAAAATCAGTCCTTTTAATTGTGCTGCAGTGAGTCAGCCTTTATGATTCCTGCATATTTGCCTACACTTCTATGTGATCAGCTTGTAATTAGATGGCAAAATTTGCTTTATGCCATTCTGAGTGATGACTATGAAGGAGAACTTAAAAATGGGGAACAGTCAGAATTATCAGTGAAGGAAAACAGGTGTTTGCTGAACTGCAGCAATTCAGCTGTATTAATCCTATTTATTCTTTTATCTATACATTGATTGTTGTGTTTGTTTTTGTAGGCCTGTTCGGCTGTCAGCAGCATCACCCACCTGGAGATGGACCTTCAGCGGGAAGGAGGAGAGGTTACCGCCAAGGACGTAGAAGGAGACCAACTTCAAGAGCTGCCCTTCACCCCTGTCCATGCTCCTGTCATTAATCTGGGAATGAATGTGCCGAGGTCAGCGGCTCACGTTGTTTGTCACATTTAACAAAGGGAATTTAAACCTACACCAAGCCCCCAAGAGGGATTTCTGGAAGCTGTCATCATTTGTTAGAATCCTGTAATAAATAGTTCAGACATCTAAAATAGTGTCATGGAATAACACAGAAATTGATGCAAATTCCAAAGGATAAATAACATGAGCATGCCAACACAAGCTGCATCACTGTGCAGCTAGGAGCAGATTTTTTTTTCTCCAAACACTCAGGCCATCATAATCCAATTAAAACAAATCTGTTATCCAGCTGACATTAACATCCTAAATAGTCTATAATTGCTACGGTTGATTAGAACCTTGGTTAATAGAACTCAGAATATCTTTACGGAGAGCCATAAACTGTTGTAGCCTCTGAGGTAGGAGAAGAAACTACACAATCTGCAGAGCCAATCGGCAGGTTTATAGCACACTTTCCTGTTTTCTGCATTTCTTCCTTTGAAAAAACTTAGAAAGTTGGTTTTGTAAAGTCAATGTTAAGTTCATCCAAAATGATCTCACCTCCTGATAAAGTTGTAGCCTAAATAGGCTATGCTAACATTTTCACTTTACCGTTTATTAGGTCTGAAACAATCAGATTAATCGTGATTAATCGATTATTGAAATAATTTCCAACTAATTTAGTAACGATTTATCGTTAACTGGAGTATATAGAGACCCTGTTACAACATGCCTTTAGCTGACTTGGAGCAGCAATTATACCAAACATATAAGTGAAAACAAAAATTTGGCATTTAACATGAAAAAAACCAACATTTTTATCTTTCAATATGCTGTTTTTTAGTTTCACCTGGTTTAATGCTGTAAAAAAACTCTTTTTGAGGAACCTTTTTCTATCCGATTATTGAACAATAAATCGGAAATAATAATCAACAGATTAATCGATTAGCAAAATACTTTTTAGTTGCAGCCCTACTGTTGATGTCTTACCTGCTCCCTCACATTATTTTGCAGCACTTTTCGGCCAATTCATTATTTTCCCTTCCTTGACTTCTCCTTTCCTCTCCACTGACTCTCCTGCTCCAAGTTTTATGCAGCGGATTCTCAATCTGTCCTGTGCCTTAGGAACAGAAAGGATTGGGTGTGAGTCTGCTGCTCACTATGTGTTGACTGAAATGAATGAACAGCATGGATAAGTGTGACCCAAAAAAGGGCCATTGTCTGCTCAGATTTGCAGACACTGACACTGAGCAGGTAGCAGATGGTTAACCAGGAACTGTCCTACCTTTCCTGATGCCCAGTCCACACCTGTGTAAAGCCCACTATAAAACTATTTCTATTAAAGTACACATTGTTTTCAGTTGGGTTGTCAAGTCTGGATGATCCATGTTTATTTCTTGGATATCTGCAGGCCATAGCGTCTGTGGGTATTATCCTTCCCTACCCAAAACTACTATAAATAAATATTAGAATATAACATTATCAAAAATGCAAGTTGCATATGATATATACAGTATATATGTTAGAAGAGAATCATAGCGGTTGTTAAACAACAACGTAAAATTAAATGAATGGTGATTATGTTTGTTTGTTTTTTGTTTACTACAGTTCATACAGTTCATTGAAGCTAATGAAGCTACCGTATTTTCACGACCATAAGGCGCACCGTACTAAAAGGC